CCTAGACGAGAAGAATTTGGAGTTGCCGTACCCCATAGCAACCGACCATAGCACTCAAGGTGTGCTGGTGCGCTGTGGATCCATAATACAGGTAGGGTTGCCACCTGTCCAGGATTCACCCGGACAGTCCGGGTTTTGAATGCTGTGTCCGGGTTTCATGGCAGCAGAAACCCGGACACAAGATGTCAGGCAGTCAGGGGCAACCAATATTAAGACACGGGCTACTGGCCCCCCACTAAACATAGTCTCAACTGTGATATTTACATATGAATGGGTGGCACTATTTACATATGAATAAGCCGTGACTCATTCGCCCCCAAAAATGTCCAGCGTGTCGCTAGAGCGTTCGGGATTCGCTTGAAGAAAAGGTGGCAACCCTAAATACAGGGAGACCCATTATTTCATTTTACTGTAGATCACCCCTTCAGAGCCACTGGGAGTGTTATCCTGTGCTGGGATAGTGCTGACCGAGGAAGGGGAGCGCTACACACCCTAGACCGAAACAAGCACTTAATTCTTGCAGCGTGGGGTAGCTCTGCTGCAGGGATTAATTTATCATTTTCCTGGAGCTGTTCTTTAAAACAAATTGTATACAGTAAAGCATGATCCCAAACATACTGAAAAACAGATTTAGGACTTACATACACTTAAACTTAAACCCTTTCCCTAAAGACTGTATATGCCAAGTCACAGTGTCGTGTTACAGTGCTGCTGAGCTCATCCAAGCCAACAGGAAAGGGAGAGCACTGTGCATGTGCATCCATCAAGAAAAGGATGACACTAAGGGCTGCTTGTCCCAAAGGCTGGTCTGTCCAAATATGGAGACAGGATGGAGCCATGAAAAGCATTTGCAGTTTTGTCATTCCATAAATAGCCTACAGGTATGTTAGCAGAAGAAAGGCATGGTTTCAAAATCTGATTAGCTTAGGATGACACTATTGTGTGAAGTGACTGCATGGAGTGTTAATATAACTGGCAATAGAGTGTATGCCCAGTACTGTGAGTGAAATTTTGAGCATGTGCCTTCCATTAGCAAGGCAGGGTAGGTCGGGTGCTGGCGAAACTTACATACACTGGTATGAATACTGCACTTATGCACTTCTGATACCCCAGCAGGCTTGCTTTCAATTATAGACATATGCATTTTAGGCATTCACCAGAAATGTAGGACCTGAAGGTCTATAAACTCTTGTGTTACAGCCTCCTAGTCATCGGTTCTCCAGGTGATCTCCAATGGTGACAGCAACCGGCCCATGCTACTTTTTCTTCTCCTAGTGGTCAATCACTCTCATGCTCCACACTAGATGGGGATCCACCTGGACCTCTCCACCTTCTTCTCCTCTCCACATGAAAGTTGGTTTCAGCACACCAAGTGAAACCTGATACACAGTCACAAAGTTTAAACAAATTAAATAATAAATAAAGCATAAATCCAGTTTATTATAAAATACTAAAAACAACATTGGCGTTAGAATGCCAGCTCCAGTAATCTGACACGTTTCATCAATTGACTTCATCAGAGGTGCTGTGCTTGTTGTGTAACTATTACTTATTTTTATTTGTCTGGAACATATTACATTCAAATGCAGTATTGCTATTTGTGAACACATAGGCATTTCTGCTTGATAGCCATGCAAATGGAGCAAATGTAGATAAATAGAAAGTGCCTCCGCACTCCCCGAAAATAGGAATCACCCGCACTCGATAATAACTTTCACATAACACATGTCCATTTATTTGGACAAATCGTCACAATGAAAAGAGCCAACGTTTCGGGGCCACACAGGGTCCCTTCATCAGGGCGAGAAGATATGTTTTCTGCCATGCACATGGAGCACACATTCTTCAACTGTACCCACAAACCCACAAACGTAACCATATTTACATTCTATATATATGTAGCCCCATCACCCTTTGTGAGGTGGCTACTAGAAATTTAGTGATTGCCAGAGCTGTAGTGAATCTGGCTGAATTATAGTTGGCATTTATCTGGTTAATTCCAGGTGTTCTGGCATTGATTGTACCTACTTGGGTGGAGTGGGACTCTGCTGCAGTGTGGGACATCCAATGAGGGACACTTTGAGTGTGTGTGCAATTCACCAGCCAATCACGGGGGCTATGATAGCTAGTGATGCATGCTAGGACAATGCATATATACTCAAGGGAGGTGCCATATGCTCAGTCTAGTGCCAGCCATGGATTTGTCCTGGTTGGGGTGCTGTCCAGCCTGTGTGAAGATTGAATTATCACATACATTTATGTGAGTGCATGCATGTCTGTATAAATCTCTGGTACAGATGTAAATATCTTTGAATACTATTATATATAGTTGTGAGGCTACAGATGTTTTAAATATATTTTTTACTGTTCTGCAATAATTTTGTGTTTACTGATAAATACATTTACATGTATCCATTATATATTTATCTTTTGTACCCTTTAGTCCTGATAAAGGGGGACTGATGAGCCTCTGAAATGTGTTGGCTATCGCTATGACTTTTTATTGTAAGTTTTTAACTCTTTTATGAACCCGTAATTTAATATGAATTAATGAAGAAAGTGGAGGGCCAAAGCTTGCTTTTTTTTTTGCAGAAGTCAAAGTATGAGTAATAGACCATCCCAATTTTTAGGTCTGCTGAAGCATTCCAACAGCTAACTGAAAATACATACAGGCACCAGTAGGTGTCAGCTATACACTTGTGATGTGTCATCTGCTTATGTTAGAAGGTCAGTCCTGCATGCTTTGATCAGTTTCCCTGCATCTGACACAGGCAATATTTATTACAGTGAAACAATACAGGGTCTATTCACTAAGCTGCTGTAGGCAGCCGAGTGACTCACCGACCCCAAGCGAAGTGAGCCGAACGCTGTTCGGCTATTCACTTCAGGTTTGTATGGCTGATTTCAGCCGTACATCGGCTGAAATCAGCCGTACCTCTGGGTGGCTTTGTGTGGCTTCGGGTCGGCCAAACATGCTCAGCATGTTCGGCTGACCCGAAGTGCAACTAAGCCGAACCTCCGGCAGGCTACTCGCTGCTGTTCGGTCTATTCTCATAGAGTGAATAGCCGAATGCGGCTGAGCGGCATTTGGCTCGGCTGTTCTGCTTGGTCCCTCTGTGGGACCGAGCAGAATAGAAAAATAGTTTAAAAAGTAGAAAAGAAAAAAAGAAAACGATTGTGTGGAGCTAGCAGTGACAGCTAGCTCCGTCCAACTGTTTTCTATTGGCAGGCGGTTCTGCTGCCGTAAAAAAAAATATATATATATTTTCTCCATAGGAATGCATTGCTAGATTCCTATTGGCTATTTCAATTTGCAATAGCCAATAGCAAACTAGCTATTGCACCCGCCCTCTGCTGCTGTCAATCACTAGAGGGGACATGATGGAGAACTGCAGGTCCCCTCTGCTCGGCCAACTTCGGGAGCTGTACGGGCTATAGTGAATAGCCCGTACAGGAGCCCTTCGGTTCTCCTGAAGCGAAGGGGTCCTGGGGCCGAAGCTAGCCGAAGGATCCTTCGGCAGCTTTGTGAATAGACCACTATGTGTTCATTGTCCATACCAATATATATATATAAAATAATACTGCTAAAGACCACTTTGCTGAATTGGGTTGCCCAGGAGGTTTACTGAAAATATGTAGCCCAATTATGCTTTCAGTTTAAAGCTGCCCATACGCCTTGCGATAATCGGACGAAACTTTTCATCCAATGATCGAACCGTCGTATGATTTTCGAACGGCGGCCTCATCCTGCCCTGATTATCGCAAGGTTGAATCAGCAGTAATTAACAGAAAAGCACCTGGACCAATTGCAGTAATCGACTGCACGTATTTTCGTCTGCGCATGTGCAGTGGAAATCGTACGCATTTTTGCAGTAATCGACTGCACATATTTATAACGCCACCAACCTTGCAAAAATCGTACAATCGACCGAAGTTTTTCTAACCTGCTGGTTAGTCAAAAGTCAATCGATTGTACAGTATTTGCGGTTGTACACTGCCCATCAACCTTACGAATATTGGACGAAAACACGATTGCATACGAAAATCGGCCGATATTCATAAGGTGTATGGGCACCTTAATTCAGCTATATACCTTCCAGGTGCATCAAAACAAAAGGTGTGAAAAGTCTAACATTTTTTTTCCTCAGAAAGCAGCCACAGCCTTAGTAGAAAAGCCTGTCCACTGCCAGCATCTCTGTATGGAAGCAGTGGTCTGCCGGCAGAGGTCGAGCATTCCCCCAGAGCTAAAACTTGGCAATCAGCAGTTTTGCTAATGGGAAAACTATGGAAGATGTATTACTGGGGTAGAGATGTTGATATATTGGTGAAAAATGGTGTCAAAGGCTCCAACCCCTGTTTATAGATGTTATTTTCAGTTACCTTATATGGTCCTTTTACTTATTTTGCAAACAATTGTCCTCTCTGTGCTAAATGCACCTCAGTGTCCTTGCAAAAATGTCTGTTCTGCATAAGGTATAGGAAGACTGCTGTGTCCTGTAGAGTTTCACCTCCTATGCCAGGCCATGCATCTGTTGAGAGATTGTGTTGTCTCCCCAATCCACAGGCCATTGCAGTACTCACTACACTATAGTCTATATACTCGGTTCCTTTGGCTTGTGTTTGGGTGTTGGGGCTAAATATGCTGAAGGAAAATTCATTGGAACTAAAGATTCTGTTTGGATGACTAAGGAGACATCTTCAACTTTACATAACAAGTCCAGATGAATGTAACTAACTACTACTAGCTATGCCAATAAACATTTATGCCATTCTGTGATCTGTTAATTATGTCTTGTTGCTAATATACTGTATGAAGGTGTTTCCTTCATCTATCTCTGTGCTGGAAGATACACAACTTTTTTGCCTGAAATATATAATTAGTGGCAATAACTTAACTGAGAAGGATGTCACGCCTGTGTTTATTTCATATTGTGCAATATATATGTACAGAACATATAAAGGATTACAGTTCCCGTGTCAGTAGCTCGTCAGCTGCACTTTATAGATTTAAGCAACTTTGAGTAACATGGAGAAGAAATGAGCACGGAGAGCCCATTCTCATCACCTCAAACCTACATTGATGAGTTTGACCCTGTAGATTACTACAGAACATACTATCACCCTGAAGAAGGAAGTTTTATTGGAGAATGGCTTGAGTTTGTACTGCGGAACCTTCATGAAACTTTCACCTCAGGTAAACGACTGATTATTAGCCTTATTTCTGCAAAAACTATCACTTACACTTAAAAAAAATTAACATGGAAAATACAATCATGTTGTTTTTTCAGAATTTTTAAATTTGATTAATTATATTTTTGATCTGTACTATGCTGATTATCAAATTTCTATGTGAATGCAATTATTACTGCAAACATTAGCAAAGTTCCCATCTTCAAATGATCAAATCTTCCTGACTTACAATGTGGTGGGTCAGTCTGATGAGTTAGAGGTACCATTTCGTCAAATTTGTATGATATGTACTGGAAATAATCATGCTATTGTGCCATTTTGGCTTAACACATGTTCCCAGCACACAGCAGTCATCCCTGTGATACCTTAGGTGGATTTCAACACTCCAGTAGGTCCTCATTCACTGTAATCAGCTCCCATTTAAAATGGAGAGGTGGAAAGGACTAAGCACAACACCAACTCAGTAGGTTAATATCAAGATTATTTTATTTTACAGGTCCAAACTGACAAGAACACTGTTACTAGTATTTCAGTATTATCCACAATGTTACCAGAATAGATTACAATTTTTCTGGACTCCTTTTTTTTTTTTAAAAATGGATGATCCCATGTGTATTTTTCTTTGTCCCCCAAGGTGGTGTTAAAGGAGACCTATTAATTGACTTTGGAGCTGGACCCGCAATTTACCAACTTGTCTCTGCTTGTGAAGCTTTTAACAATATAATCACTTCTGATTTTCTGGAGCAAAACCAAACACAGCTACAGAAGTGGCTGAGGAAGGATCACGATGCACTTGACTGGACTCATATTGTCAAGAGGGTGTGTGAGCTGGAAGGTAACAGGTGTGTTACAAATGTGTAATAGTTGTAAATAGGATAATGTGCCCTTGTAACTTCTATGCTCTTTTCTCACCCCCCTGTATATACTGTACCTTAAACAATGTAACTAAATTGATATTTACTTTACTAAGTTGCCAGACTCCACAGTTGGATACGGGGGTAACTTCAGTAATGTAAATTACACATTACCATATTATTACCATAGCTATTACGTGAGAAAATGGCAAATGAAGGCCAGGTGAGAATTTTGTCTAGCTGAAACCTACAAAATGTTTCACACAAACAAATTTAGAAAAAATATGTACATTTATAAATATAAATTGTAACAAACATAAGGTATTAAATCACATGTAGTCTGCATGATATTTAAATAATTATGATAGTATGATGGCTTCTAATAACTTGATGTATTGATGGAACTTATCTTCCCCAGTCCAGCATTGACAGAGGATGTTAAATGAGACAAGATTTTTACTTAGCTTGGTGCCAGGAGCCCTGGTTCCTTCCATACATCGGTATGGTGCTAATTTGGCATTGAAATTATTTTAAATGTTTGCAATCATAACACTAAGAAAACATAATCTACACTGTGCTCTTTTAGTGACAATGAGAGCTGTAAGAAGAAGGAAGAAAAACTCAGGAGAACGGTGACAAAAGTCCTGAAATGTGATGCTCTGAAGGAGAACCCATATGACCCGGTGAAGATGCCACAAGCTGATTGCCTGATCAGTTGCCTCTGCTTAGAAGCCGCCTGCAAAGATGTAGAATCCTTGACCAATGTGTTGAGGAATTTTAAGAGCTTAATTAAACCAGGGGGTAACATAGTACTGCAGAGTGTACTTAACTGTACATATTACTATGTTGGTCTAAATACATTTTCCTGTCTGCCTATTAGTAGAAAAGAACTGGAGGCAGCATTTAAGGAGGCTGGTTATGAAATAATGAAAATAAAAGTCATTCCATTTACTAAAGTTCCAGAGAAGGACGTCTGTGATCAAGATAACTATTACTTCGTCCATGCCCGTAAACCATGTTCACAGGGCTAATGACCCATGAACTATTTACAACCAGGTCCTAATCAGTCATTTCTCCTGTTGCTTTTCACATGAACAATATAATTAAACCAGCTGAAACAACACAGTGTAATTAATTCCTATGCCAAGCTGAAACTTATTAAAAAAGATTTTGTATTCCATTATTTTTAGCAAAAGTTATGACATTGAAGGTGGTTCTAGGTATTGATAAGGGCAGGTGCAGTAGCACAGAGACACAGGGGGTGATTTACTAACCTAAACACACACACACACCAGGTGTGTGTGATTTTCACACAGCAAAACGTATTTATCAACCAAAAAGTCTCTAAAAGCATATTTCCACTAATGCCATATATGGAAAAATCATGCACATGATGCATATACAGTATAATGCTGCTTCACAGTTTAGACAAAAATGGTTAGCTCATGCATTTACATTCCTTGCATTCATCAACGCAAGCAACACAACATAGAGCTAATTTACCCAACATCACCTTGGAATTCCTTCAGAGCTTTGCACAACACACCTGCTGGGTGTGTACACATTACAAAGGTCTTTAGATTCCACCCATAGATCATGCTGGGAGGGAACACACTGCAGAGGTGTATACACGTTCGTGGTGTGTTTATAAGGTTAGTAAATCAACCCCACAGAGACTGCATTCACAGCTGATACCGGTCATTTTTTGGCCACAATCTACCCCAGCCCACAGTGTGTTACACTTTCTACTACGGTATGTAGAATGTGTGACCTAAGGGATGTTGTAATATGTAGCCCGATCAATGACCACAGCTCTATCTCAAGAGATCTTTCTTTTGCATAAACTAATATTATTATAGTGTAGGCTTGTCGGTTTAGTCACAGTATGGGGGGGGGGGCAAAGTCTGCCCTGGGGCCACAACCCATATAACTACACTTGAGGATGGATGCCACTGATCCTGACAACTATTACTATGTCTTTGTTTATAAACCATGCCTGTTAGGTAAATGATAATAAAGTGCATGTATCCTGGTGAATTTTAGTGATTGCTTTAATAAAAACGTGACTGCATTTGTTTGTATTTTTTCAATATCTGCCTAAAGTTTAGATTTAATGGGATCCTTTGGCCGGGCTATGGCCATTTCTGTCATTACATGTTCTTGTTGTAAATAAGCTTTAAACAAGCCCTCACTGACCTCTATAGCTACAGGCACTGTGGAGTGATTCATCCTCGAGTTCAGAGCAGAAGCACTGAAGTCAATTTTTCTCAGCAGCTCAGCTCACCCTGTTGCTGCTCCAAACATTAGTCTGTTTGTATAATTTACTATAGCTAGGGCCAGACCTACCTTTACCCACAGTTGGCATATGCATATGAGTAGCTGCAGCTTATCCAAGTAGTCTCAGCCAGGCATTTTTTTCTCATCATTAGTAGAAATACAGTCTTGCATGCTAACGTTTAGGCTAGGTTCACACCTAGGCGGTTTTAGCCGGGCGATATTGTGCAAAACACATATTCCCACTGAAGTCAATGGGGCCTGTTCACACCTTTGCGTTGTGTGGCCAAAATCGGTTGTCACGTGGTTGTGGTCCCATAAACATCTCTATACATTGAAAGCCGTATGGTTTTCGCACGGTTTTCAAAGCAAAATCGGGTTAAAAAAACCTGCGCGAAAACAGTTAATCGTCCCAATCGCCTAGGTGTGAATCTAGCCTTAAACATCCCTGACCTATGTTTTAAAGTTCTTGAAAAAAAATATAACAACTTAAGTTTAACTGAGCCTTGGATTGATGTAAGAGGGACAAACAACCCCCCAGCCATGGTGCCAGTGGTCCTTTTCATTAGTATAAGGGAGCTCAGTCAAACATTGCTTTCAGTGGATTACTTAACCAGGCTAAGTTAACCTATAATCCCATTATTCCTCTCCCACATATTCTGTGCCCAGCCACCCCCCTGATTAATAAAATTAATGGATTCCTTACCCCCTTCTCAGGAGGAGGGAAATAGTTGAATACCGGGAAGAGTGAAGCCAGCTCAACTATATTTATCTTGCTCAAGTGACTCTGCACTCTGCAGGATGACCCACACTTCCAAGATGAAGTAAAATTTAGTCTTTTATTTGTCCATATCTAAAAGCATTATGACCGGCATTACACATGAATATGGGTTATAAAGCTTGGGATGTTTACTTATTGTATTACAGTTGAATGGCAACTGATTTTTACTGCAGTTGGACATCTAGGATAGTTTGCATACAGGTTAATACATGCAAGAGTGTGCAAGCAGTGAAATGTGTATAGTGCAGATTTTAATTCTGTCTCTATACTGAACTGTCCAAAATGCCGGTGTGGGTCAGTGAATGATACAGCACAAAAAATAAAAATAAAGGAAGCACAAGCGCACTAATCGTGGTGGTGAGACAGGTTGGGGGACTGGGACAGGGGAGATTGGCAATGCTTGGTGTGCTGCTCCTGGTGTAGTGCAGTGGTTCTCAACCTGTGGGTCACGGCCAAAAAGTGTGTCGCAACCCCCTGTTGAGAGGGTCACTGCGTGCCTTCTGTTGTGCTAGGTGAGAGGCTTCTCAGCCTCTTCATAGGGCAGAAGTGTCAGTTTGTCTCCTGCGCCACCAGATGTGCCAAAGCTACCAGAGAGCCTCACTGACCACCAGCGAGCCCACACTGACCACCAGGGAGCCCGCACTGACCACCAGGGAGACCGCACAGACCACCAGGGAGCCCGTCAGATCTGTCAAAGAGTCCCGCTGTGAGTGCATACTATTCATTTATTCATACAGATTGTCATCTAGGTTTTACACATGACCAGCTTGCTGTTTGTTCCAGTGTTTTACTCCCGCATTACTCCCACATTTTTTAAATACAATTTACTTCTTCTACATGGCAAACAGAACATGTAGACCTAATTTTTCAGTATAAAATATTGCACAATAGTTCATGTGTTTGCATAACGAATAATGTCTTGGTAAGCTCCCCAAGCAGCTACAGTATATTGCACAATAGTTCATATGTTTGCATAAAAAAAATTACTTGGCAATCTCCACAGGCAGCTATATGTACTTTTCTGTTCTGTCCAGACAAGAAACTGCTTTTGCTCAGAGAGAACCTTTTAAAAGTTTACTATCCCATCCATACCAGGGTGTATCTAAAACTCATGTGACCATCATTTTACAATAGAACCCTGATGTATGAATTATTTGATTAAAGAACAGATTTGTAATGCTGGCCCTAGTTCCAGAAAATAGAAACTATAGCTGACAGGTGAAGCATAACCTACTGGTACTTGGTTGCCTTCAGGGCTTATTACACAATGCTATAGTTTCTGGTCAGTTGGCACAAAGGACTGAGTGAGGGTAAGGGTAAGAGTACCTGTGGTGTTCAGCAGTATTAGGCATGGACTCTAGAACAGCTAGTGAGTTTGTCATAGCCAAGCCTAGTGGTTGATGGCAGTCATGACAGAAGATATGCATCATACAGAGGTAGTCTGAGGTCAGGGCAGGTAGCAGATGAACCGTAATTCAAAGACAGTCTGAGGTCAGGGCAAGCAGCAGGTGAAGCATTATCCAAAGACAGTCCAAGGTCACAGCAGGCAGTAAACAATGTGTAATTCATGGTCAGGCAGTGATGAAGGCAGACAGCAAATTATGGAGTACTCCAGTACAAGACTAGGGTCAAGAAAAGCCTCTACTTTCAGGATCCAGGTTCAAGATATATAGCATGGGGGACAGTCTAGACCAAAGTATCACAAACCCAGAGTCCTGGGCTTGTGATGTTCAGATATAGTACTAGAGCAGGGGTGCCCACAAGGTCGATCGCGATCTACCAGTCGATCGCGTAGCGATCACTGGTAGATCGCCATGTCCTCTCCTCCTGCCACTTCTCTGGACCCCCGCTGCTCTCCCCAGCGGGGTTCCGAGAAGAAGTGAAGGAATCAGCGGCATTTTAGACCCCTAATATTTCCCCGAAGCCCCCCCCAAGAGTAAAAAAAAAAAGAAAAATGATGAAGAAAAAAAAAGAAAAAGAAATAATGAAAATAAAATAAAATATAGTAAAAAAAAATTAAAAGAAATGTTGTGTTTTTCTTGCCTCAGGTGCAAAAGGAGCTGGCTACGGCTATGCTCCCGTGGTGCTCGTGCGGCTGCCGGCTGGATGTGTCAGACACTGCAGATGGAAAGGTGCAGGACACCCCATGTGCAACGTCAGCCACACGAGCACCACGGGAGGACAGGACGCCGGGACCTGTAGGGCGCACTGGAATGTAAGCCGGCCGACTCCCTGTGTTCAGGATCGGGAGGGGGTGTGAGGCTGTATTGAAGTCAATGGCATGGCCCACAGTGCGATCGCCCGCACTCGGAACGCAGGCATGTTAGTGCCTTCATTCCGGTCCAGTGCGATCTGCAAAAATAGTGCACGCAGCATTTTTGCGGATCGCACTGGACTGGAACACAGGCACTAATGCAGGCGATCGCACTGTGGGCGAGGGGCCTGCCTGCGAGGCCTGGCTGCGGTGCCTAGACTTGCCACCTGTCCAGGATTCACCCGGACAGTTCGGGTTTTGAATGCTGTGTCCAGGTTTCATGGCAGCAGAAACCCGGACACAAGATGTCAGGCAGACAGGGGCAACCAAAATTAATAAAGGGTCTACTGGTCCCCCACTGTACAGTCTCGACTGTGATATTTACATATGAATAGGTGGCGTTATTTAAATATGAATAACCCACAACTCCCAAAAAAATGTCTAGGCGTCGCTAGAGTGTTCGGGTTTCGCTTGAAGAAAAGGTGGCAACCCTAGCGGTGCCATTGACCTCAATGCACCGCCACCCCCCCCTCCCGCCCCTGAATGCAGGTGTTTTTTTCATTGGTAGATCTCAATGAGCTCGTCATTTGAAAAGTAGATCTCCAGACGAAAAATAGTGGGCGCCCTGTACTAGAGGCACTGTAACCAATCAGGCCAAAGGAGGTAGAAAAGGAAGCTCCAAGATGCTGCAATGAGGATGTTGTACAGAGGGAGAGCTGGCCAATGGGCACGGAGGTGACATTGCCTCCAGAACAGGGCCTGTTTCCCAGCAATGGAGACTCAGGCCAAGGAGGAAAGAGCTGCTGATGCCAGCCAATGGGAGCAGAGTGGGAGCATATGGGTTGGACTTGATGGACGTATGTCTTTATTCAACCCCAAATACTATGTAACTATGTAACATTGTCCCCAGAGCAGGGCCTGTCACCCAGCAACTGAGACAGGACAGTACACTAAAGAGTAGGAGCATATCTCACATGCCTAACAAGTTTAATTTCCTTCTGCCGACCAATCAGCTTCTTTCTTTCCTGATGGTAGGGCTGGTTAGAAAGCACAAGGGAGGAACTGATTATCAGTCTGCAACAGACCACACCTGCAGGATTTCCAGGTAAGAAACTTTCAAAAATATTCACAAAAAGCAATGAGAGAAATTTACTAAGACTGGACAATACAGAATCTGGAGTGGCTGTGCATGGCAACCAATCAGCTTCTAGCTTTCATTTCAAGGCTGAAGATAGAAGCTGACTGGGGTCCTATGCACAGCTGCTCCAGATTCCATCTATTCCAGTTTTAGTAAATTTCCCTCAATGTGTTTAAGAAAACTGTAAATCGTAAGGCATGATGCTAAACGTATTTAAAAAAAGCTTCACAAAAAAACATTATTTGCTCAAACAACAACTCAGGGCTACCCTCACACTGCAAGGGTTAAGTGCTAATTTTGGCCTAGTGTGTAAAATAACAAAGATATGCTCACCTGATCCTCGATCCTGCCTGATCCTTGATCTTGCCTGGCTACTAGACTGGTCTCCAAAGCCTCTCTCCCCCTATGCAGCAGCAGTGGAATGCCCCTCTGTGACCTCATATCCAATACACTGTATTAGATGTGATGACTCACATGTTACTGGAGTGGAGGGGGAAAAAGGCTGCGGAGGCCAGTCTAGCACCCAGGCGGGATCGAGGATCAAGTTATTATATCTTTTTTTTTTTATACACCTAGACCAAAATAAGCACCTATCCCTTGTAGTGTGGGGGTAGCCCAAATGCAAGTGTAGCGCTCACCCCCGAAGGAGCCGCTGAATATGAAATGGGTTCTCCTACCTGTTGGTTCTAGCTACCCGTCCCCTTGGATCAGCAACAGCACACTGACACTCATGGACAGAACGGCTCGAGTCTTAGGGTCTTTTTAGGGTTATTTATTTGCAAGATCAATAGGAGAGAGAGGGTTTAGGGTCTGTAGGATGCCATTGGAATCTTCTGAGGACAGCTTTCTCCACTAGCAACCGCTAAGGCCGAAATCACTCTGATCTGGTCCCAATGACCAATAGTAGTAGTAGTACTGTGAACCGATACCTGGAATAGTGTGTGGGATCTCCCTTGTGGGTCCCAGACGGACGCTCGCACCAGCTCCTCTGCGGTACCCCTCAACAAGCGGACTCCTCCCCGACCCAGCTTCCATCAGGTATTTTCCTTAGCAACAGGATCTGGAATCTCTGTGCCCTCAGCATCTGCAACTGCCAAGGAGCACTCCAGTTTAGTGGTAGTATCTTCTTAGAACAAGGCACCCATCACCTGCCACGTGTATGGGCCCAGCAAAGTATCAGTGTATCCTAGGCCTCTAGGCCCCTCAGCACCTGCCATGTGCTGAGGCCCAGGCCATTTGCTCTGCATCACACACAGTCCTCCTAGAGCGAGGCCCCTAGGGGAAGAGAGCTCTCCACAGTGTCCCCAGACCTTTTATTACCTGCCCTCAACCATGCCTCTGAGTCATCCTACTCAGGGATTGGCTAGGGCCAGGTGCATAGTCATAACCTGAGGGTGGATCCTCCCTCACTGTATGCCAAGGCTCCCTTTTCCTCAGCAACAGGAGGAGCAATCAATCCAGCAGATTCAGGGACACCTATAGAATGCAGAGCTCTGTATAATCAGCATCTAGACTGGTTACAGTCCAGGTATCTCTAAATTGAATAGCGACATTTTAGAGGGCGCTACACAAGGATTAATTTATCACATTTCTGGACTTGTTATTTGCAAAAAACTGTATACTGTTAGGCATTAGTCAAAACATACTGATTAATAACGTTCAAATATCACATTTTCGTTTATTTTGACAAATCGTCACAATGAAAAGAGCCAATGTTTCAGGGCCACACAGGGTCCCTTCATCAGGGCGAGAAGATGTGTTTTCTGCCATGCACATGGAGCACACATTGTTCAACCCACACACCCACAAACTTATTCATATTTACATACTATATACTGTATATGTAGCCCCCATCACCCTTTGTGAGGTGGCTATTGTAAGTTTTTTTTATTGTTAGTTTTTAACTGTTTTATGAACCCGTAATTTAATATGAAATATGGAAGAAAGTGGAGGGCCAAAGCTAGCTTCGTTTTTTTTGTAGAAGTCAAAGTATGCGTAATAGACCATCCTAATTTTTAGGTCTGCTGAAGCATTCCAGCAGCTAAGTGAAAATACATACAGGCACCAGTAGGTGTCAGCTATACACTTGTGATGTGTCATCTTTTTATGTTAGGTCAGTTTTTGATCAGTTTCCCAGCATCTGACACAGGCAATATTTATTACAGTGAAACAATATGTGTTCATTGTCCATACCAATATATATAAAATAATACTGCTAAAGACCACTTTGCCGAATTGGGTTACCCAGGAGGTTTACTGAAAATATGTAGCCCAATTATGTTTTCAGCTTAAAGCTGCCCATACACCTTGCGATAATCGGACGAAACTTTTTGTCCGATGATCGAACCGTCGTACGATTTTCGTACGGCGGCCTCATCCTGCCCTGATTATCGCAAGGTTGAATCAGCAGTAATTAACAGAAAAGCACCTGGACCAATTGCAGTAATCGACTGCACATATTTATAACGCCACCAACCTTGCAAAAATCGTACAATCGACCGAAGTTTTTCTAACCTGCTGGTTAGTCAAAAGTCAATCGATTGTACAGTATTTGCGGTTGTACACTGCCCATCAACCTTACGAATATTGGACGAAAACACGATTGCATACGAAAATCGGCCGATATTCATAAGGTGTATGGGCACCTTAATTCAGCTATATACCTTCCAGGTGCATCAAAACAAAAGGTGTGAAAAGTCTAACATTTTTTTTCCTCAGAAAGCAGCCACAGCCTTAGTAGAAAAGCCTGTCCACTGCCAGCATCTCTGTATGGAAGCAGTGGTCTGCCGGCAGAGGTCGAGCATTCCCCCAGAGCTAAAACTTGGCAATCAGCAGTTTTGCTAATGGGAAAACTATGGAAGATGTATTACTGGGGTAGAGATGTTGATATATTGGTGAAAAATGGTGTCAAAGGCTCCAACCCCTGTTTATAGATGTTATTTTCAGTTACCTTATATGGTCCTTTTACTTATTTTGCAAACAATTGTCCTCTCTGTGCTAAATGCACCTCAGTGTCCTTGCAAAAATGTCTGTTCTGCATAAGGTATAGGAAGACTGCTGTGTCCTGTAGAGTTTCACCTCCTATGCCAGGCCATGCATCTGTTGAGAGATTGTGTTGTCTCCCCAATCCACAGGCCATTGCAGTACTCACTACACTATAGTCTATATACTCGGTTCCTTTGGCTTGTGTTTGGGTGTTGGGGCTAAATATGCTGAGGTATGTTCCGAAAATTCATTGGAACTAAAGATTCTGTTTGGATGACTAAGGAGACATCTTCAACTTTACATAACAAGTCCAGATGAATGTAACTAACTACTACTAGCTATGCCAATAAACATTTATGCCATTCTGTGATCTGTTAATTATGTCTTGTTGCTAATATATTAAGGTGTTTCCTTCATCTAGCTCTGTGCTGGAAGATACACATCTTTTTTGCCTGGAATATATAATTAGTGGCAATAACTTAACTGACAAGGATGTCACACCCGTTTATTTCATATTGTGCAATATATATGTAGAGTACATATACCTATTATACACTTAGGTTTTAACACAAATTGTAAAACTATTGCTTTCCGTTCAATAAAATCACACACATGTCACAGTATGGTTGAATGCAGATGTTTAATGAAAAAAACAGTGAGCCATTAAGTACTGTATCCAGGGCTGGATTTATCCTCTCTGCTACCCCAAGGCCAGGTTCCTCAATGCAGCCCCCCACCCCGTCAACGCCCCCTCAATGAAGAATGGCAACCAGATGGCAGGGTTGGTTTGAATTTGTTTAATTTTTTTCTTTCTTTTTTTTAAACTTTTTTGTTATTTTTGTTATTTTTTTTCATTTTAATTTTTT